TCTTGTCAAATTTCGCCACTCCTGTATCTTGACAGAGATCTGGGGCCCTATTTACCCTGCATTTCTACCAAAACTAGATTATATCGGATGCTATTCGTTGTCCACATGCCTACTTTGATATTGTTAATGGAAATAAATTATTTAATGTTTGGAGGTATTTTAGTTTTACGAAGTCCAGCATTTTGGTAGTGATTGCATGATTGACTCTAAAACATAATATTCTTGCTCATGCCATTAAAATAATTTTCCACTTTTCTTAGTGTAATCTTTTGTTAATATTTCACTCTTCATCTAAACTTGATTATACAATTCTGTTTCTAGCTTAATCATATTTTCATCGGTTGGAATGCTTTCAACAGAGCTTGTTTAAAATTTGGTTCAAACTAACAACTTGGTTCACAAATGGGGCCTAGCAGTGCCTTCTCAATAAATTTGTACTAGTTCAAAGCTTGGCTTTTAAAAGTGATGTAACTATTACTACCTTTTGCAACTTTGGTAGAGCTCACAAAACATTTCACTCTCTTCTAAAAACAGCAGTACTGACCTTTTCCATCAAATACAGTATTCAGAGCAATTAACCATTGCCCCCAACATCTGTTAACTAACCAGATTCTTCTAAGGTATCACATTTCCTTGCCTGGGGGTTCAACAGACTTCTAACGAGCATGGCAGCTTCATAGTCTTTATGCCATTACTACTATACTATCACAACTTTCTATACCACCAAATCAAATTTTACACAACATTTAAATTTCTTGCAAAACTTTTTAACAATTTTTTGAAATCTCCCAATTGAGTGCCAATTGTAATAACTGTCTTGGGTTCAACTTAATTTATCTAGTTCAATTATTATTCATTTAAAAGATGTCACTTGTAATTGACACGATTTATCACCAGAGCTATTTTTAAACAGGCAGGCACAGAGATAAGGCAACTTTAAATTTATTCTACTTCACCAGTTGTTAGGGTTAAACTAAAAATATCAATTTACCAGTGACCTGGATCTGGCTTTGACACATGCTTCCCTGAACTTGCTGCAAATTCAAACAATTTAATCTGTTACTACCAGAGGCTACAAGCTTCACTTAGACCATGACAAAAATTTGAACATACAGCTTACCAATCCAAAATTACCCTTACATTGCACTATTTAATTCAAGATAAGCATCGAAGTTTCCAACAGAAAGTGAAACTTTATATGGCAGAGGAGTGGTTTGGAGCTGCCTAAAACTCTCAAATGCAGTTAAGCATAAATCTAACTTTATAGTGTAAGTGCTTGCCACTTTAACCTACATTAATTGTTGAGTGAGCAGACTTGATGGCAAAGTCAGGCAGATGGAAATGATATAAATTAAACAACTTGCTGTTAATGTAATTTGAATATAAATGCTGCAAGTGAAGATTTGCATAATTGTTTAAGTCTGGTGGAGCTTCTTTTGTAACTAGGAACAATAAATGGCAGCTTTAAAAATACCAATAATACAACTTCCGAATCAGGATATATCTGGACATAACTGTATTTGTGGATAACTGGTAAAAACTTAGAAGTCCTTTATTGATTTGAAAGATTACAATTGTATGGTTTTTAAAACAGTGTATTTCTCATGGAATTTCTGCAGTATTTGTATCATAGGGTATTTAAGGCTGCTGCTTAAGAAAATTAAAAGAAATTATTTTAATACAATTAATGGAATAATGGAATAAAAAAACTGGGAGAAATAAAGTAGAAGTTCTGAAAAAAAAATTTAACTTATATATTATATAAAATGTAACTTATATATTATATTACTTATCTTGTATTACTCTTATTTTTTATAGGTGCTCTAAATTAAACTAGAAATTGTTATAATAAAATGAAGAATGGGAACATATATCCTAGCATATGATAGTTCACTTCTCTACAGTAATAATAATAATTCTAATACAGTACTGTAATTCTTTACTACTGATGTTTAATTACATTTTCAACCTGCAAATTTAAAACATTGCAATACAACTTTATATAGTATCTTTTTGAAAAATCTTTGTAAATCAATTTGTTTTACTGATTTAAAAATTTGGAGAGATTTTGCTGAGTAAATTCGCAATTTTTTGTAAGCTCAATTAATTCATTTGTCTCAAAATTCTTAAATGTTCTTACTATTGGTGTAAAGTGAACAGAATTTCAATGTCGAAACTGTTTGGATTTCTTATAATTAAGTAAATATATTTCCATTATGAAATTTTTCAGATTCTGCAAGCACATGGAATTCATAATTTTCCATTTCATTTTTAGTATAATTAAAAAATTACCTCTCAGTGTGTTAAGTAACTTTCATTTTGCTCACTAGTAGACGAGTGGAAAAGAAGTCTGAATATGAATAGTTGGTCCACTGTTGGTTCGAGTCCCAGCAAACAAGCTTACTACATAGGTGTTTTCAGAATAATACATAATGTAAATGCGAATCGTCTAAGGTCTCCACAAAGGCTGCCTTCTCCTTAGAAAACCGTCGATTGCATGCTGATGTCACTCTGACTGCGCCAACACCCCTCGAACTTGCCACATTTCCTTGTTCAAACTATCGTCGCCACAGCCGGTGCACTGTAAACGCATCCATGTGTGTGTCAGCTAAGATTTGCCGTATGGAGCAACCTGCCCTTCTCGGCCTAGTCACCACGCCCCCCATAAAATCGTCTGCTGGTACTGTCTCCGTTGACAACAGCCTGCCATTCTCTGCTATTACATGCATCCCCTAAGACAAGAACAAATTTTCTAGGATTATTTCCCTACCAGAAGTAACGGCTCAAAAATTAAACATTCTGAAGGTTTCTTAACTGTATCTTCTTCAATATGCACTGGAGAGCTGTGCATTTCAACATCATTTGTGATGTAAAATGCCCATTTCACACTTGTGTATACCCTGAAATTTGCATTATTTTCAGGTCACTCCTTCTCAGTGTTGTATTTTCAATGTCGGGTAATGTATTAATTTTAACCTTGTACCAATTTTCTAGAGATATTAATATATATATTAGTATTTTAAACACAGTACCAATTTTCTAGAGTTGTAGTCATTATATTCCTATTTTAACATTGTACCAATTTTCTAGCTGTGTTCAACTGCAGAACTTTGTCTTCCTTGTAATAGCCTTGGATGTTAAGTAAAAATGGTTTAAACTCACACTTTAAACAACTGATTACGACATAAAAGGGATTTTTATATATCCATTTTAGAGGGGAAAATTGTTATTTTTATTGAATAATAAACAGCTATAGTTCTTCATTTATGGCTAAAAGTCTAATGTACCAAACAGGAAATTTTCCCTATGATAAATTTTTCAAAAAAAAATGTGTTACTATTTTAGAAATTAATGTAGCAGTTTGTAATTCCATTCAAGACAAGTATGTCTAACAAAAATAACTCTAATGTAATATAGCCATTGCCCCACCAGCGGCCGAGCAGTGAAGTCGCTGAATACTGGTATTTCAGATCCTGGCGAATGAGCAGGCTGCATAATCGTTTTCATGGTTTTCCCACGTGTAAACGTATATACGAGCCAATTTCCCTTAGGAAGTCTCCCCATGAAGGCATCCCTTCTCTTAGAAAAATAACCCTAATGGGCTTTGCCGTAACCAAAATAAACCAAATGCAACTTGGCTATTTAAAAAATACCGATTTTACTGTATATTATTCATTGCTTACAGTCTCTGTCATCATCTAATGATGATTAAAATATTATGTAATCTATGTCAGTATGTTAAATTCATATCACACGTGTGAGAGAAATCTAACAACCCTCCAAATATAAGATTATTATGCATTTAATTGATCCCCTCCCCAAAAAAAAAATACTGGTTTTGAGCACATATTGCTAGGAAAATTAATGTAGTTATATTAGAATTACTGCTTGATTATTTTCTGGCATATCTACTATGGGCCATTAGTATAAAAAAGGAATGAATTACATGGATTGAAATTATTTGCTAAATATGGTTGATGTCTTGTGTGTGAAAGGTGTATTTTTATATTTTAATTTTTTTCTAGTCACAATCGAGGAATTGAGACTCATGATGCTATAACATTGTATATATAACCTGAAAAACAGAGGTAAAAGCTTTGAAAAGATTATTGTAATAAACTTTCAAGGTTGCCTGTTACCTCCTGACCTTCACTGACAATACATATCTCCTCACATGGAAAAAGTAACATTCGTGCGTTCCATTCATTCATGGAAACGTTTCATGCATTACCACATGGTCCCTTTTGGAAGACATTGTGCTACATGTTGCTGATTAATTGGATATAGTTAGCTATTGAATCACTGCTGCTGGACCTGCATAACAGAACCCTAGCAATAATACTGGTGTAACTGTAGTTACTTTTATTATAAAACATATAAAAAAGTTGTGTATGCAGTGTGTGGGAAAGAAAAGAGGGGAAAACAACAACATATATATCCGAAATTAATAATTATTTTGTCATGGTTTATATAACTGGAAAGAAGAATTTAAAAAAATTTAATAAACATCTATGTGAGCTATTTGTAGCTCGGGCTGTGTTTGGCAGCAATCCATGTCACTCCACAAGTTCGAAAGCATTACTGATACAACCTAGTCGTATGTGTCCGCAATTTGGGACATGCAAATTTAAAATGGTCAAGTCTGTCCACGCCTATCTTTCCCACAAATTTTTTAGTTCTGCTTTCCAGCTGTGTAAAGGCCACAGTGCAATGAAGACATTGATTAAGACACAATAACACGCCGAATAAATACTGATTCAGAAGTCAAACAACAACATTTTTGCGGTTTTGCAGCTGAAGATGATGGTTCGGTAAAACCATCGAAACTAGTCCTGTGAAAATTTTGTGAATTAACGCTGATTTTTGTTGTTTGACTTCTGAATCAGAAGACATTGATTTCGGATATATGTGTCGTTCTTTTTCTACCACTTCTTTCTACGGTGTCCTGTATTTTCTTTGTGAATTTTAGGATAAGGAATAAACTCGAAAGCAAATTTTTCTAATTCAAAAGTTTTTTTTTTTTTTTTTTTTTCCTCCTATAATTCTAGCCTTTGAGAACATGTGAATCTTCAGATTGTTTCATTTTCATGCATTACCACATGGTCCATTTTAGAAGCAACTATAATCATATAGTCAGGTTAAGGATCCAACCATGCTTTGAGGATATGGAGGAAATCCGTAACTAGAATGCTGGATATGACTGAAGCTGTTATTGAAATTGGAACTACTTGAGGCAGGAGCAGTGTGTGAAGCATATGAATTATGTCCAGATAAATTTTCATGGTCCATATAAGATGTAAGTGGTGCTATTTGTTGGATGGAACTGTAATTCATATAATCCCGACTACCGTAAGATCTGTCTTCTGATGGTGATTGGCACTTTTTCTTTCTGGTCCTTGAGGATATCTTCCGATTTCTTGTTTGTATACCATCTTTCTTCAATGTTATAGGCCGTCTCGTCTGAAAATAAGAGTGAAATTGAAATCTAAGTTCAATTTTAACATAATGAAGGGTACATTTCATTCAAAATATGATGAGAGAATATGGTGATACAATCTGATTCATTTTATTTCCTTTATTCATCAAAAATATAGTTTTAAAAATTTTGGTAGGTAACAGTTGTGTTTATCAATATATTTTTTACAGTTAGGTAAGAAAAATCTTGGTGCAATTTGAAAAATTAATCTTCTTAATTATTGAGACACTAGCTGAACTACCCGACGTTGCCAGTGCTTTACGCAGATTGAGAGGCCTTCGTTTATGGAAATGGAAATCTTTTTTTTTTTTTTTTTTACCGAAATTTCAGTTAGACGGTGATTTTGATTCAAGCTGAATTGTGCAAAATTTTACCAAGCTCGAATAAAACCGTAGATGTTACTTAAATATCTCAAAGTTTGAAGGTACACTGTGTTTTTTGTTTGTGCGACAGGTTCGTAAATAAACTATCCGACATGCTCCTCTTGAACAAGTCACGTATGACTGGCCATGTGAAAATTATGGCGTTTCCAAGTTACATGATGCTTTTAAGTTAATACCCGCTACACAAAGTGATTGCACTTGTGCTTTGTTCATAAATATAGCTAACGCAAGCCGAACAGGAAATTGCAGTTGCTTCAAATCGAAGGGCTATTTGAATCTCTGAGTATGAAAGGAACGCATGAAATAAATACATCTTCAACTGCGGCATACTCTGGGATTATTGAGGCCTATATTACGTTCGTCAATAGATTCTTCATGATGAGCCTTGTTCCATTGCACAGGAGGGTGATGTTACATAGGGGATCCTTTATTTAAATTGAGCTAGTGTGGGGGTTATTCTTAGGGCTCAAAGCATATTTAAAAATTCTGTAGCATCAGCATGGCAACATTGCAAACATATCACACTGTGGCATTGTAGGTATTGCTTAATGTCTGCTTTTTGCAACTATTATGTGACATTGTATTATGATGTTAATTTGTAATCACACTGTGACGTTGATGTGGAGTCACTTTTTGACATTGGTTTGAAGTCACACTGGGACCTTGATGCAGAGTTTTCCTGCGACGTTGTTGTGAAGTCACACCACGACAGTGATGTAACGTCACATTGCGACCTTTGTATAAAGTGACATGAATGGACTTGAAAAGTGGCATGAATGTACATGTAAAGTGTAATGTCACTAAAGATGTGAATGAATGTCACGCAACATTGCATTACTTTTTAAATGACTAGTGCAATATTGCATTACTCCTATTTTAGAAAATTCCTTCAGTAAAGCAGAAAACTAAAACGTTTTATTAATTAATTAAGAAGTTATACTCTTCACGGTATTAAAATAATTCCGTAATATTCGAAATTTTTTAAATTATTGAAATATTCATTATAATCGTTAAATTTTCTCATCGTATTAAGGTTCTATTTCATCTTATTTAGGTTATATTATTGTGATCCGTTTAAACTTTATTATACATCTGTATAAAACATTGCCTGCAAATACAGAATGTATTATATATTTATAGTCATTTCTATATAAATACTACTAAGCGTAATACTTTTGACTTTTTTTTATTTCTTAAAAATTTTTAAATTGTATTAAAAATCTGAGTTCTTATTATAGCTTGTTAAAAATTTAACTATATTGCATAATGTAACACCTTTCCTCCCGCTTCTAAATAGAAATATTTTTAAAAAAATTCTATTTGGCCAAATTTTTTTTTTTTTTAATTGTTTGGCTTATTTTTTCTTCTCTTTTCCTTGATTTTTCTTCCAGAAAAAGAACTGAATTATTAGATTTGACAATTATGTGAAAGAAAAACCGATTTAGTACTATATTTATAGGATATTTACCTATTTGAATATTTTCTTTTATAACGAATCTTTTATAATGAAAACCTTTTGTAAACCAACACAATCTTAATTTTCAAATTTGCGATTTGTTGCTTAATCAGTGAATCGGAAACCAAATTACAGAAAATTCCTTTTAGTTTTATAAAACGTGCATTCTGTTTCACCATTCTCAATTGATAAATTGCAATTTTATGCAATATTTAAACTATATTAATTACTTACACTGCAGAGCTTCACTATACCTAAATGATTATACTAATTAAAAATGTATAATTTGTTTCATTAGCTTATTATATTAAATATTCTGCATTTCCTAAGCGAATTTTGCTACTCACTTCACAGTAAAAGTTTAAATTTGATACAGTTTCACACAGTTTATTATTCAAATACATAACAAATTTGCATAAAATTAATAATTCAAGTTCATAAAACAGTTACTGTTACCAAAGCTGAATTACCAAAATCCGTATTTCTTGGTTTTGAGAGTATACACGATAGTATAAGCAAGGCTTAAATACTATTAGTAACTCATATGGTAAACTGAAAGAAACTCAGTATATGATAAACTTCATGGGATCCATATTTTAAGCAACACCGTACGATGATTAAACACTTACTGTAAGACAGAGTAAGTAATTACTAAACAAAGATTCTACAAAAAGCACATTAAATAAAATCATAGAAGGCTAAATTATGCATCACATAAATTAATAAAAACTACAAAAATACATCCAAACCAAAGTACAAACAAACACAAGCATTCATATAAATTACATCATCCGCTGTTAATTGGTAATGCTAATTGGTAGCAGGTGCCAGTCCTGGGAAAGCTAAGAATATCTGTAGCCACAGTGTCTCTCTGAAATAAGGGCACTTAAAAATCTGTGACTATGAAAATTCTGCCGAGAGATAGCTGGGAGTGCAAGATGCCTGAATTACCTTCCAAGATACTCAGAGTTAAAACTAAGATGGAGTCTGATAGTCCACGTGTACTTTGCCGTAATAGAATAATTCAGTCCGTGCAATAGCAAAAAGTATCATTATTTAACATTTTTCTGACTACTTTTCCATTCTCCTAGTACTAATAAAGAAAGAATTTTCTTTATTTTGCTTCATTCTTATTTGGTGCAGGGTATTGATAATTTTTTAACTCGGGGGCTTTTTCTCACTGTCTAAAATATGCATTAAGACAGTGAAAAGGCTATATATTTTGAATTAATTTTAATATTAGCAATAAAACTGAATAATAATCATATTCGACTGTTTCTATGTGCATTATTTCCCAGCTGTCATGTCTGGATAGAACACAGTTTCAAATATTGCATAATATTGCCTAAAACATGTAACAATTTTACAGTCCCATGAATAACAAATATAACAATAAAAGTTGGAAGTCTCTCGAATAGCATATTTGCAAGAAGGTCGAACAACCTTGAACTCCAGCATGATTTAAACAAAATACACTCGATTTTCTTGATAGAATGATATCTGTTAAAATTAAGCGTTAAATGCCTACAGATAATTTTGAAGGGGGAGAGAAAAAAGTTCAACTCAAAGTATTCAAACTTCACTGTAGCGAACAGGATATAAGGAAAAAATATGTGTTATTTTATAGGGCTTTATAGTAAAGCTCTAAATGTATCAAAATAATATATTACTAACTTAATGGGATATCTTCGAATAAATGTTTTTGTTTATAATTTTAAGACTGCTGCGAATTTTAACTGAAAAATAACTAATCTTTAAATCATCCATGTTTATAGGATGTCATAATTCAAATTCCATCTACGTTAGGATAGCGAAAAACGCATTCACATTACTGTTTCTTTAGTCCCAAGTAGTCCCTGTAATGGACAAAGAGCAAAATAAACGAAGAGTTTAATATCATGCATTATAGGCCTATTATGTTAAGCTGGCGCATCAGTTTCATGTAAAGCTCAGAGAGAGCTAAATGACGTCATTCCAATTTACAGTTATGACTACAAGTCTCTTTACAATGTTAAGCGCCCTTTGGCCATTCTGAATAATCATCTATAAAATGCGTTATATAGATACGCTTCATTGCTTAATTTATATTCTTCTTGTATTATGTATGTTTCTGCATTATATTTTTATTTTTATTCTCCATTGTAAAAAAAATCTCTTCTTTTGCTGTGCTTAGATATAAATTGTTTATTTCGTTTGAAATAACAATTGATCCTTCTCACCAGGGTTGTTGAGTCGGAATCGAAGTTGGGCAGATTTTGGGATAAAAGAAGTCGGAGCTGGAGTCCCTAAAAACACGTCGACTCCAGTTTTTGTTGGACAGCTTGAATTTGAAATGAAATTAAAGTGAATTGAAAGCAAACTGAGTTATTATTTTTTATGGACTAATAAATAGTTATTTCCTATTTTATTGACATATTAATAAATAAATATAAGGGAGGAAAATGGATGTAAATTTGCAATCATTGGATTAAACTGATTCATTTAGTTACAAATCTCATTGGTAAATTTAGGTAAGCAGCAATAGCAACAAGAACTCCCGAAATTGATACTATTCTTTTGAAGTGAGCAGGAAAAGGAGCAATTATTGATCAAGCAACGCGATGGGGAAATACATATTTCATGACATAGAGGTTGTTATAATTAGCGTTTTTAAAAGATGTAGATAACCCTAATGTTTCACTAACAGAAAAACTGTAGAATGATCTTGTTCTTTCTGAAATGGGGAGGATTACTGCAGAAGGAATCATTTCTTCAACGAAGAAAAGAGAAACTAATTTGCTAGGCAATCAAATCAGGATAGTCAAGCAGCAGACATTGCAAATGAGTGTCAGTCATCCTTTTCCAGTGATGAATTAGATTTGGATAGTATTGAAAAGGCTAAGGCAAAGCAAATGAAAATTAAGAACCAAGAGCGTTTAGATATAAAAATGAAAAGATATAAACACGATTTCTATGCAGCCTTTGAAGAGATAGAGAAATATGATTGCTCCTAAAAAATACCTCTTTTAGAACTTATAAAAATCTATCCTGAAAACTTAAAAGAAGTAGCCCTAACAGTAACAGCTCTTCCTCAAGTAGTTTAAAAAGACTCTTCTCAGCTCTGAAGTTTATCAAATTGGATCCACGGTCCTCTAACAAAGAAGAT